GAATTAATTGCCTCCTGCAAAGCCCCACTTCCCTTTTGCTCCTCTTTTATTCTCTAGGGGAGGGGCCATTCAGTCTACCTGTGCCTTTACTCCCAAGTCGACCCTTGTTCCTTAGCTGTTCCCTTCTTCTGGCAGCTCTGTGCATGTGCACACTGGGAACAGGCTCCAGCTATTCTTCTTCCCCGCTGACGTCTGACTCCAAAGGCAGCTGATAACTGTGCGACGGCCCTGGCCCCATCTCTGCCTCCGAAGCAGAGCCCTTGTCTGAGCCTTCCCCAGACTCCTCTTCACTATCCCAGTCTGTCGCCAGCTCTGCTGGCCACTGGTGGGCCACAACAATTTGAGAATATTTAAATTTAAAGGATTGGTGGGATAATGAAGTAGTGTGGGACAAAGGAATAAGATTCTGTCCATTTTCTGCCCTCCGGGTGGAGGGTTTGAAGTGGGCTCACCTGAGGGTTTGAAGTGGGCAGGTGGGCTGAAGCAGCCATTCACACAAATAGAAAACCCCAGAATCCTCCAAGGGATTTTCACCCAAGTCCAGACCGGTCAGCCTTGCGTTGGCCATTGTGATGGGTGCCAAGTCTTTGCATGAGGTGGGAGAGAGACCACAGCGGTTCAGCCTATGGAAATTGGGGAGACACACAGACACAGGTAGGGAGGAAATTGGTAGGCATAAAAACAGCCTCCAGGTAGAACAAGTGTCAGGATTCTGGCGATTGCCCTAATTAAATCCTAAGCCTCAAGCCAAGCTTCAAAAAAACTTCAAAAGATTTATGAGGAGCGGCATGCCGGCATGACCTGTATGAAGCCAACTCTGGGACACATAATTTACAATCACCTATGACCCTGTTTCCCCCCACACTCCTGGGTGTGCATTCATTCAGCTTCTCCAATGAAACACGTTCATGGGCTGGGTGTCACCAATCACATTCTCCAATAAAAGGATTTTCGTGGGCAGAATACCCGGCTGCCTAAGTTACAACCTTTGTGAGACAAGCTTGGAATGTGCTTCTCATTTTATTTGCCGTATGCTCCTTCAGGTCTTTCCCCTCCCTGTCTTTCCCATGGCAACTTGGAAACGGGCATAGGGATGTTTTCCAAGTTGACAACAAGAAGCAATGGATGGACCCTAATCAAGGAGAGAACCAAGAGGAATTTTCTGAGAGTGAGAACAATTAATTGACGGAACTCCTTGCCACCAGAAGTACTGGGTGTTCCATCACTGGAGGGTTTTAAGAAGAGATGGAACAACTGTTTGTCTGAAATGGTAGAGAGGGCGTTGGACTAGAACAGTGATCAACAACCGGTGGGGCCAGGGACCACTGGTGGTCTGCGAGAAAATGTTGGCGGTCCTCAGAGAAATGTCACCCCAAAGCAATTAATCCAGGCTCCGTGGAAACACAAGGCTGTGCCACCCACCTGTCCTGCGGGAAGACAAGGCTTGTGTTGCTTGCATTGTGAACACCATGAGGTAGTGGGGGGAGGGGTGAAGGGGGGAGGGGTGGAACTTGCTCCATACGCCCCACTCGCTCCTTGCCTGGCCACTGGGCTGTTTCTTTCTTCTTCTGCTTTTGGCTGCATGCATCAAAAGTCCTTCTTTCTCTCCCCCAAACTCCGCCAGAAATGAGTCTTTGGGACCCTGCAAGGCCTCCTGCTCCAAGAGGCTGCAAAGACTCATTTCTGGCGGAGTTTGGGGGAGAGAAAGAAAGACTTCTGCTGCTTCTGCTGCTTTCCTTGCATGAAGCCAAAAGTCTCTCTCTCTCTCTCTCTCCCCACCCCCTTGAGAACGGAGCTGGAGACAGTATCCTACGATCCCAACTAAAGAGCGATCGGTCAGTAGGAAAAGTGGGTGGGGGATTTTCCTGCAGACTTTTGGGGGATTTTCCCGCAGACTTTTGGGGGGGATTTTCCCAGGGTCTCTGGTCCACGGGATTTAAAATGAGTTTGGGGGTCCCTGAGGTCCAAAAAGTTGGCAACCCCTGGACTAGAAGACCTCCAAGGACCCTTCCAACTCTGTTATCCTCTCATTTTTCCAGACTTTGGCCATCACTCACCAGGTCAATGTTTTTCAACCTTGTCCACTTGAAGACGGGTGGGTTTCAACTCCCACGGTTGTTAAGTGAATCTGGCTTCCCCATTGACTTTGCTTGTCAGGTCGCAAAAGGGGATCATGTGATCCTGGGACAAGGGTCATACATATAAGACAGTGGCCAAGCAGCCTGAAGTTTGATCACGTGACCGCAGGGATGGGGTCATAAGTGTGAAAAATGGTCCTAAGTCACTTTTTTCAGTGCCATTATAACTTCCAACAGTCACTAAATGAACTGTGGCAATGTGATGACCCAAAGGGGCATGGCACAAAGGCAACACAGTTAAATAAACAAGAAGAGTCCTTTTAATATCTCCAACTTTGCCCCCAATGTCCAGGTTACCTTCGGCTGGAGAAAAACTCTCCCAAGAACAGTCTTTAAGTGAAGGAAATTCAGTCCAAAAATAAAGTACATATAAACTGTAAATAAAAATCCACACAAACCACGCTGCAGGACAGGGCAGGAGAAGGAATTGCAGACTTGAAAGGCCAGCAAAACACCCCCAGTTGGGAACCTGCCTGGAACCCAGATAAGCCTCGACCTTAAAAGATAACTCACTATTTGCTTCCAACAACTTGCTGCACGCAGCCTCTATTTTTATACACTGTGTTCCCAGCTGCAGCTAATGAAGGGAATCAGGGCCCTTTCCTCCCCCTTAAGACATGCAACCCACGTTGCTCCCTTCTCTGTTCCTCCCTGTGTGCTCTAGGATGAAGAGGGGGTGGGCCTGGGTCTTCCTCCGAATTCCCTCTCCCTTGTTCTACCTCTCTCCTGCTCTGCCCAGCCAGACTCTGCCCTTGCCCAGTTTCTTCCACAGCCAGTGGAGCCACACTCCCGCTCCCTGTCAGCTGCTCGGCCTCCCCTTCCAATACAGATTCTGACAGGGGCATGACAGGTAAGTCAGGGACTTACCTGTATTGATTGAGATCCGGGACAATCAAATGAGACGTGTTTTGAACCCATCTCCAACTCCACTATCCCTCGGGCCTCTTTCTACTTACTGGATCTCTGAAGATTTCAGGAATCCTGTCAAAAGTTGTCGGAATCTTCGAGGTCCAAACTCACAGCCAGAGAGACGGATTGAATTCAAAGCTTCAACAGCTGACAGGCAAAACAATAAAGCGTCCAAGTCCAGCTTGGTTAAAAGTTGTGTTCTGAGATCCAAATCATGGACATTCTTCATTGCTTTCCGGGCAAAGACCCCGTCCTTCATTTCGTAAACACAATGACACAATTCCAGCAGATCCTCTTCCCTTTTAAAGGAGTGCGCCTTGGCTTCCTGATCCACCCACCTTAGCAATTCTGGCGAAACTTTAGTCTCGGATAGCTTGAAAGACCAGGATTCTTGAAGGACGCTCATCCTTTCCACATTGGACAAGCCATAGAGAAAATGGATCAACATGAGATACTTGCTCTTGCACTCCTTCTGATCTCCAAATAGGTCTTGGTAAGGTGTTCTGGTTGTCTTAGTGTCGAGCAGGTAGAACAAGGCCGCAAAAAGCTCCTGGAAACCCAGGTGGATGAACTTGAACAAGGTCTCCACCCGAACGTCTTGGCGCAAGACTTCCTGACTTGCAGAAGGAGGGTCTGAAGCCAAGTAACAATCCAAACCACGTTCCTTTAGCTCTTCTTCACGGAAAACCAATGTTCCCTGGAGTATTCCATCTTTTGCTAAAGCGCAGAGGTCTTCCAGGTGGCTTGGCTTGGAATTGGTCCCCAAGAAAGTCAAGAGGAGACGCAGGTGAATTTCGGTAAGCGTGGCCGTTTCTGGGATGTCTTGAAGAAGCTCTGCTTGTGGGTTTTGTTGAAAAACGGAGCCAACGACCCAACAGGTTGCGGGGAGGAAGCACATCCTGAAAAGAGTCTCATTTCTTTGGACCAGTTCAAAGATCTGGTTGGCTTGTCCCGTATTTGGAAAGAAGCGGTGGAAATATTCCTTCCTGTGAAGAGGGTCAAAACCCAACACATCTACCAAGAGTGGTGATCTCAGACACTTCAGCAGTGGTCTCACCCCCATAGGCCTTGTGGTCACCAGGAGATGACACTTGGGGAAGATCTTTTTCCTAAGCAGACCCATCAACAGGTTGACCACCTCTTGCTTTCGATGGGGATCCTTGTTCAGTGTATGAGCTGGGTCATCACAGAGTTTCAAGTCCTCAAAACCATCAACGATGAGGAGGAGGCTTTCTTGGTTGGCCAAAACGTCCTCCATGGAAACCATTCCTGGAGGACAACCGTTGAGGATCATCTCCGTTGCGCTCATAAGCTTAGGGCCACATCGGAGGGCGTTGCAAGAGATATAAAAGGCGTAATCAAACTTGGTCAGCCATAGTTTATCTGATGCCCAGTCCAACATGAATTTCCACGCGGCTGTGGTTTTACCTACCCCAGAAGGTCCAAGCAACAGGACAGTTTTTGAGTTTTCTCCTTCAGGATGTGGATGAAATAAGTTCTCCAGGTCAACCTCCGGACCATCTTTTGGATTGGTCTTCATCTCCCGGTGCCTTCTTTCCACGGCCATCATCTCATGACCTCTTTTGGGCAGATCCGATCTCCGCTTGAGAAGAAGTTCTACATAGTTTTCTTGGAGGGACACCTTCCGATTGGGGTGCGGGCCAAGTTGAGGAAGATTTTGAAAAACCCCTTGGATGTGCCTCTTATATTTCTTCCTGAACTCTAAAGAAACACACGGAAAGAAAACATTCCTCATTCAGTGGCAGAAATAATAGATAGTCCTTCACTTGCCGCAGTTCGTTTAGAGACCAAATTACAATGGCACTGAAAAAATGATTTATGACCATGTCTCATGACCATTACAACATCCCCGTGGTCATGCGATCAAAATTCAGACCTTTGGCCACTAACTCATATTTATAACAGTTATATCCCAGGGTTGTGTGATCTGTTTTTGCAACCGGTTGACAAAGTCTATGGGGAAGCCAGATTCAATGACCGTGTCACTAACTTAAGGACTGCATGGATTCACTTAACAATGGTGGCAAGAAACGGGATAAAGTTCACTTAATGTCTCACTTAACAACACAAATGTTGGGCTCAATTGCGGTCATAAGTCGAGTGCTGGTGCTTTTCTAAGCCAAGATCCAAATTCTTTGGAACAGGGGTTCGGCCAAGGGAAAACCAGGTCACGTAGTCTGGGTAGGCACTGCCAATCAGAAGAGATGGCACCCCAACAGTTGGGTAGGTTAGAAGAGACTTAGAAGTCCAACCATGGAAAAATACAGCTATCATTTACAACCAAACTTTCAACCATTTGTTTAGGGACCATTTAGATTTACTGTTATGACCTGCTAAAGGCCAGCAGAGTTAGTAGCAGACTCGGACAGCGAGGAGATTGGGAAGGAACATGGGCCAGTCCTGGAGAAGGTTCTGATGAGGGCTCTGGGTCAGAGAGAGATATGGAGCCAGGGCCCTCTGACAGTTGTCAACTGCCTTCAGAGTTGGAGATCAGTGAGGCAGAAGAACAGCTGGAGCCTGTTCCCAGTGTGTGCATGCACAGAGCTGCCAGAAGAAGGGAATAGTTGAGGAAGAAGGGTCAACTCGGGAGTAAAGGCACAGGTGGATGGAGAATGGCCCCTCCCATGGGGAATGAAGAAGAGTGAAAGGGGAGTGGAGTTTGCAGGAGACAATTAGTTCATTTAATTAGTGTGAAGATTTGTTTGTGACTCTCAGAGACTCCTTGCCAAGTGTTTTCTAGTACAGTGTGGCATCTGAAAGATATTGGCCTGACAACTCTCCAAGCCTGATAACAGGTCTGTGGTTGTAATTCACACTTGAAAGACCAGGGTGGGTGAAAACCAGGGTCAAGGGTGAAATGAACGAGGTGTCTCAGAGTTGGCCATACCCAGGTAATACTGACAGGTTCACTCCTAATAAATCTTCTTTAAGCTCTCATAGATCTGATCTCATGATTTAAATGGGGGTGAATACCGGAGCTCTGACATGGAGCTCAAACCAACAGCCCAACTACCAAACCCGAGCTACTAATATTCAAACAGATGACAATAAAATTATTCTAAGCTCCCTGCTGCTATTTTGTGATGGGTGCAGAAGCCCCTTGTCAGTCAAAGCATCAGCCAGAAGAGAGAGAGACAATTCCTGTCCACCGTCTTTCTCCCAGGGACAAGCTGGATGCCAGATTTTCTACTAACTAGCTTTTTGAATCATTTTTACAGCCAGTCCCAGCAAAGCAGTAATCTAATCGAGAGGTGATAAGGGGGTGATGTATGGTTGGCCAAGACCTTCTGGTCAAGATAAGTGTATGAAAATCCCAAGACCAGCAGGGGACAAAGTCTACTGGCCATAACTTCTCCTGCGGTTCCACCTGGAGACGGGTGTTCAGATGTTTTTCCTTTGAAAGGACAGCAGCTCTAGCCAGACCTAGTTCTGGAACCATCTCAAACCATGTTTCTAGACCAATGACCATCCCATCTTGCTAGGGATTGAGCTAGGGTGTCGGGATTCCAGCAATCACCCCAATTAAATCATGATTCTCACACCAAACTTCAAAAAACTTCAAAGGATCCATTAGAGGCGACATACTGGCACTTCCCTGTATGAAGCCAACTCTGGCATACGTAATTTATAGTCAGTCCCCTGTGACCCTGTTTCCCCTCCAGGTGTCTCATAAATCAGATTCTCCCATTGAGCACGTTCACGTTCTCCAATTAAATATATTCCTGGGCAAAAGCTCTGGTAATTTGGTTACAATCTTTTAAAGATAAGAGTTGGAATGTACTTTCGCTTTCCAACAGCTGCACTGCTCTTCCAGATTTTCTTCCTCCCCCCTTTTTTAGTTTTAATGGCAACTACTAAAACAGGCATAGGAATGGTTCATGAGTTGACATTCGGCTCCTCTCACTTCTTGAAGGTGACCTGTACTAAGCAAAAACAAACTGAGTGCAGATATAGAATTTAGGGTTGCAAACACCCCCACTAGGCTTGTTGGATTTTCTGCATGGAATCTTGCTATAAGGCGATCCGCCTGGACGTTCCTACTCATTACCCAAGATGCCTCTGATAATAGGTAGCCCTTCCACTTGATTTGCTGTCAGGATTCCAGCAATTGCTTTCATTAAATCATGATTCTCGAGCCAAACTTCAAGAAACTTCAAGGGATCCATTAGAGGCAACTTACTGGCACTGTCCTGTATGAAGCCAACTTCTGGCATATGTCATTTACAGTCCCCTGTGACCCTGTTCCCCCCCCCCCGGGTGTGTCATCAATCAGATTCTCCAATTAAGCACCTTCACAGGCTGGGTGTCATCATTCGTGTTCTCCAATTAAATATGTTCGCGGGCAAAAGCTCTGGTAGTTTAGCTACAATCTTTTAAAGATAAAGAGTTGGAATGTACTTCCGCTTTCCAACAGCTGCACTGCTCTTCCGGATTTTCTTCCTTCCTCCCCGTTTTTTATGGCAATTACTAAAGCAGGCATAGGGATGTTTTATGAGGTGACAAGGGTTTTTACTATCCAGACCTTTCCAGCTTCAGAGAGAGTTTAGGAATATATCTACCCAAACACATGCATAACACACATCTGCACAAGCTATGGGCATATATATACAGGGAGTCTTCGACTTACAACATTCGACTTACAACTTACAAAAAATTATTATAAAATTTGGAATTTATTTTATGAATGGCTGGATAGAGGAGTAAGACATTGAAATGTGTAAGTATAGTATAATAGACCACAACTGATAAAACAATTGAGTTAGATAGAGTAAGAAAAGGAATGTGAAACATACTCTTGAAAGACAATAACTATAGTGTTAGGGATAATAAAATAATTGATGCATGTGATATAAAATATTGGCTAGAATGATTATAAGCATAAATAAGTAAGATAGGTAGGATAATGTTATTATGTGCACAAAACTATATGTACCCAACTGACACACTGTTACAACAGGATGAAGGTTTTATTTCTTTGTTTTTGTCTTTGTTATAAAAATAAAAAACTTTTTATTAAAAAAAAATAGTGACCCTTCGAAGTTACACCACCACTGAAAAAAGTGACTTAGGACCGTTTTTCACACTTATGACCATTGTAGCTATCATCTACCTGTCTGTCTGTCTGTCTGTCTGTCTGTCTGCCTACCTATCTACCTACCTACCTATCTTAATCTCTGTCCATTTTGAATATGTAGTGCAAAGAGGAAACCTGAGAGGTTCCATGGAACCAAACTGTGTCTGTTCTGCTTTGGATACCATGTGTCAGGATTCTGGCAATTAATCCAATTAAGTCATGAGCCTCGAGTCACACTCCCAAAACTTCAAAGGATTTATTAGAAGTTAACATGCCGGCATTAGCCTGGGCGTAGTCGACTCTGAGATACATAATTCCCTGTCACCCTTGATCCTGCTTTCCCCACCACCCCTCTGGGTGTATCATCCAACGAAACACGTCCATAGCCCAGAGTCATCAATCATGCTCTCCAATTAGATTTCTGCATGGCAGAAGCTTCAATCATTTAATCCAGTGGTCACCAACGAATGGGCCGGGGACCACTGGTGGTCTGTGAGAAAAATTTTGGTGATCTGCAGAGAAATGTCCCTACCAAAGCAATTAATCCTGGCTGCACAGGAACACAAGGCTGCACGGCCCACATGGCCCATGGGAACACAAGGTTTGCGTCACTTGCATTGCGAACAACACGAGGTAGTGAGGGGAGGGGGAAAGGATGGAGGGGGGAACTTGCCCCACTCGCCCCACGCACCTGGCCTGGCCACCAGGCTGCTTCTTTCCGCTTCTTTCTTCTTCTGCTTCTAACTGCATGCAAGGAAAGCAGCCAAAGTCTTTCTTTCTCTCCCCCAAACTCTGCCAGAAATGAGCCTTGGGGACCCTGCAAGGCCTCCTGCTCCAAGAGGCTGCACCAGCAAAGACTCATTTCTGGCAGAGTTTGGGGGAGAGAAAGAAAGACTTCTGCTGCTTCTGCTGCTTTCCTTGCATGAAGCCAAAAGTCTCTCTCTCTCTCTCTCTCCCCGAGAACGGAGCTGGAGATGGTATCCTGCGATCCCAAATAAAGAACGATCGATCGGTAGGAAAACGGGGTGGGGAATTTTCCTGCAGACTTTTTGGGGGGATTTTCCCAGGGTCTCTGGTCTGCAGGTTTTAAAATGATGAGTTTGGGGATCCCTGAAGTCCGAAAGATTGGCGACCCCTGATCTAATCAGTCTCTGAAGAAAATATGAACGGAATGTACCTTCGATTCCACACTGCCGCCTCCTCTTTGAAACTCCCCCCAGTTCTTTCTGTTGTCAACTATAAAACGTGTATACGAAATGTTTTATGAGTTGACACCATGAAGCTCCCAGAAGGTAGCGAGGAAAACATGAAGAGGATGGGTAGCAAAGCAGACAACCCTGCGGGTCCCTGTTCGAGCGTCACTTGTATATGCCATGTCCTGGGTGCTATGGAGGGCCTTGAATGTGGAGGAGAGAATTGATGGGAAGTGGTGACCGTTGCAAAAGAATTCATTCAATGTCCTTTGTGGGAAACACAGAAGGAAGGAAGATTTGGGGACATATTCATTCAGACACCTTACAGCACAGCGCTCAAACACGGGTGTCCAAGCTTCTCCATTTTAAAAGTTGTGGACTTCAGTTCCCACAATACTGGGAGTTGAAGCCCACAAACCGTAAAGTGGCCACCTCTGTGCTGGAAGAAGGAGGGCTTTGAATGGCGGAGGAGAAAATGGACGGGACCTTGTGAAAAAAATAATAATTCCTTCCATGCCCAGGATGTTAAGATGCCCTTGAGGCTGCGCTAGCAAATCCACACAATTGCTTCCAAACAACTGGAGAGGGCAGGTGCCCAAGTCCCAGTCAAGACAGGTGTGCAGGTGGTTTCTTCTGAGGGCCTGAAAAAGAGGAAGGAACGGGCTCTTGAAGGGCTTGATCCCCACAAACATCTACAGTGGAGACGCAGGACATCTTAGCAAAAAGGTGAAGAACAGATAACAGATAATCAGAAGGGACCTTATAGGTCATCTAACCCTAACCTTAACCCCCCCCACCCCAAGTGGGAGACCCCATTTCTGATAGATGGGCAGTCCAGTCTCTTCTTGAAAGCCTCCATGTGTGAAGCTCCCACAACTTCTGAAGGCAACTTCTGTTCCATGGGTGGATGGTTCTCCCTGTCAGAAAGTTTCTCCTTATTTCCAGATTTAATCTCTCCTTGGTCAGTTTCCATCCATTATTTCTTGTCTGGCCTTCAGGTGCTTTGGAGAATAGCTTGACCCCTTCCTCCTCCTCTCTGGGCAGCCCCTAAAATACTGGAAGGCTGCTCTCCTCTCTCCCCTGGTCCTTCTCTTCCCTAGACTAGCCAGGTCCAGTTCCTGTAACCGTTCTTCATATGTTTTAGTCTCCAGTCCCCTCATCATCCTGGTTGTTCTTCTCTGCACTTTTTCTAGAGTCTCCACATCTGTTTTATAACGTATGTATAAACCTACAAAGATTGCAGAAACTGGCTATGACTAGTTTGACGAAAAGAAGGATTAGGGGTGACACGATAGCAATCTTCCAACATTGGAGGGGCTGCCCCAAAGAAGAGGGAGCCAAGCTATTCTCCAAAGCAGCTGAAGGCAGGACGAGAAGCAACGGGTGGAAACTAATTAAGGAGAGACGCAACCTAGAAATAAGGAGAAATGTTCTGACAAAGAGAACAATCCACCAGTGGGACAACTTGCCCCCAGCTGTTTGTTTAGAATGGTATCAGGTCTCTTAATTTGGAAAGGCAATTTCAGCAGAAGACCTCCAAGATGTCTTCCAACTCTGCTATTCTGTTAAAAAAAAAACAAAGCTACATCAACCACGCTTCACGCCAGGCCCACATGGACGTTAACAGCCTCATGGAATTCATGAGGCATACACCATGGACCTTCTATCTATACTTCCTCACACTTATGACCACTGTGGCATCCTCACTGTCTTGAGATCAGCATGTATTTACAATGGTCAGTTGATTGTCACTTGTGACCTTCTCAGCTGGCTTCCCGACAAGCGACATCAAGGGTGGAAACTTAACGGCCCCGTGATTCGTTTAACCCTGCAACAATTCACTCAGCCACTGTGATGAAAAAGAATTGCAAAATTGGCGCAACTCGCTTTGCAACCATTTTGCAATGCAGCAGAAATTCAGTTGTAGTTGTGAGTCCAGGACTCCTTATCCGTAAAGCGCCCTTGTAAGAAAACATTCATAGAACACTTCTGGTGCAACGATCAGAATATTCCATGGGTAAGGTGTCCTCCCTGGCAAAAGGCAAGCCCTGTTGGATTTCTGCCTGCCCAGAAAAGAACCCCAAACAGAAGAAGGACGTGTTTCAAAGAGAAGAATCCAGCTTACCATCATACTTCCATTTTTGGAGTCGAGAGGCGGAATCTCGCATGTTGATGGCACGGAGGACTTTGATGGTTACATCTTGCGCGCCCTGCTCTCCATAGGCCTCCAAGAGAAGCCGCAACACGTCCAGTGTATGGGCATCCTTTAACTTGCTCCAGGGAATGGGGTCCTTCTCCTCCAGGTAGGAAAAGCTGAGTTTGTGCTTGAACCTCTTGAAATCTTCCCCAAGGAGGTCGTCAAGGGTGAACAGCAAAACGTCTTCCAGAGATTCGTGAAGCTCCTCCATTCCAGCTCAATGGTGCGGGAAGAGGTTGCTAGCTCCTTGGAGAGAGAGAGAGAGAAAACAGGAAAAAGCTACCTGTAAATCATTCTCCTATTGATCACTGATTAACCACCAAGTGGCTAATTATCAACCGAGACCACACAAAACAACAGAGGAACACAACGCGAAGAGCAAACTTGACAGCGTAGCTCTGGGAAGTGAATGCTTGCAATTCTGGGGGTTGAATTCACACAACCAGGCTGGGTTCGGCTAGGTTTTAACCTCGACCGGCATGGAGGAGGGTTTGGTTGTGGGGATCCAGTGTGTTTCAGTTTATGGACCAGGATGTTCTACAGACACAGAAGGTTAAATTGCTTGTTTAGGAAGTAGTTGTGTATTGTAAACACCTCAACAGGTTTAATTCCAGTTTCATCTGGGAAGCTGTAACCAGCCTAAATCAAGCCAAGTCTTGGTCCAAGAATCCCCGGAAGCCTGGCATTCAGGACAAATCAGCCACCAACAGGCACATAGAGATAAACAATATCTGGATGCCATTCCAAAGAGACCATCAACAAGCCAAAAAGGGAACAAAAACCGCCACAAAACATACTCACATGAGCAATCAATGAGCAATGAGATTAACAGCAAGATCAACATCTGACCAAGAAGCAAACAATATCCCAATGAGAGAATTGCCAATTACACAAACATAAGCAACAGACTAATCAAGGGATCACCAGGAATACCACCCCACCCCCACCACCACGGACAGGGCAAACTATCTGTATATAAATAGGGAGAAAAACCCCCTCCCTTTCAGCACTGATGATGTTCCCAAGTTGGGTAATGAAATGTCTGCAAGAAAAAGAACCAAGCTCAGAGAACACTAGGCACCAGCAGTTGTCATCGTCAATCTCCTCCTCCTCCTCCTCCTCCTCCTCCTCCTCCTCCTCCTCCTCCTCCTCCTCCACAAACCCCACTCCCTTCTAGCACTAATGATATTACCTAGTTGGGTCATGAAATGTCTACAAAAAAACCCAGCTCAAAGAGGACCAAGGACCCCACAATAATCTTCCTCCTCCTCCTCCTCCTCTCCATAAACTCTACTCCCTTCTAGCACTGATGATGTTATTTAGTTAGGCGATGAAATGTGTGCAAGAAAACCGCCAAGCCCATGGACCCTACAGCTGCCACCCTCCTCCTCCTCCTCCTCCTCCTCCTCCTCCTCCACAAACCCCACTCCCTTCTAGCACTGATGATGTCACCTAGTTGGGTAATGAAAGATCTGCAGGAAAACAATCAAGCTCAGAGAGCATCATGGATCCCACAGCCGCTCCTCCTCCTCCTCTCCATAAACTCCACTCCCTTCTAGCACTGATGATGTTCCCTATTTCGGATAATGAAACTTCTGCAACAAAACATCCAAGCTCAAGCGGATGCCCTCCCCCCCCCCCCCCCCTCCCCCCCCAAACCCCCCCCCCCAAAAAATTAGGAGACACATCTTTAAGACCAAAGAAGGCACATCCTTCATTTCGCATGACTTACGGTGTCACCTTGTGGCTTCCCCTTCTTAATCCTTCACGTCTTTCTTGCAAACCTTTTGGTGCCCTCTCCGGAATGGGAGCTGCAGCCCCACAGCACAAGCGCGGGAGAAGGTCTCTGGTGTAAAATTTAGCCACCCAGAGAGCCGCTCCCAGAACTTCCTTAGCGGTGATGCTTCCTAGCGGAATCTGCTGGCCTCCCCACCGTAACTAAAGCACCGAAGCCTTTTTATTAGTTCACGCCTCCGGACCACATTACCAACATCCCTTTTTGCTCCGCAGTTTCTCAGATGAGAAATTCTCCATTTCCTGAGCAAGAACAATCACGTACCGTGTAAAGGGTGGCGGTGACGGAGCCACCGGTCCTGGTGATCTTCTGGGCTTTGTTTGTTGAGCTCCAGGCCAGCATCCAGCAGAGTTCAAAAGCAGAAGTGAAAGCAAGTTCTTTTCTCCTTTCCTGCCCTCTTCATCTCGGCCTCCCTCATAAATTCCCACCACAGTCCCTCCCACTGGAAAAAGACCAGACCTTCAACCCTCCCACTTCCTCACTGGGAAAGGATCAGATCTTCACCAAAGAGCCAGGGGACAAGTTACATCACAAGTTGTAAATCTAATCTTACGGAGCTTCTCCTCCGGTACGACCACTTGCCTGGTATGGTGGGAGGTTGGATTGGATTCGGTTCCTTTTTGGCAAATTGGAAAAGTGAAGGAGGGGAAAAATCCTGCACACACGACTCTACTTTTCTTCTCCTCTAAGGTGGCTCCTTCCAAGAGCGAAGGATCCCACCTGTATGGAATCTGGCATCTTCTTGAAAAGATGATGGATCTGTGTTTATTGGAGGAAAGAAAAGCGATTGAAAGCGCGGCCTCCAAGACCCTTCTCAATTGGATCGAGAACAAGGACAACAAATTTCACTACTTTAACAATACATTTTATATCCCAGCACAGAACACGCCACACCTAAAAAGCCCTCCCCTTACACCCCCTTATATCCTATATGCTAAACTACCAACTTGGGGGTGTCATGACAGTGCTCCCTGGGCCTCAGTGTTTTTATCTGTTGAAAGGCTGGAAAATGCCTTTCGAGGATTCGATTTTCCTGCTGGGAGGGCTCCGGTGCAAGGACACAGAGACAACTGCTTGGAAGCGGGTTCCTTTTATTTTTCAGGAAGGCAAGAGATAGCAAGAAGTCTGCGTTCCTGGGGCTAGCCATCTTTGTATAATAAACCCCTGATTTTTATACTTTTTTTCTCCTTTTGTGTGTGAGTGCTTGTGTTTGTATTTCTTAATGTTTTAAATCCTGTCAGGGGGTTGTCTTCATTTCCGCCAGAGGGTAAACTCCGCGGGGTGGTTTGATTGGATTATCAGTTTCGTCCTAATGTTTTCTTATATTTGTTTGGTGGCAATCTCCTGTCTGCTATGGAATTTATTTCGTGTCTTTTGTCTATTTGTTTCGCTGATTTGGCATGACCTGTTGTTTGTAAGGGATTTCTTTTTCTTGTTTCCCTAGCTTTCTTAATTACTTGGCTTTTGTCTAGGGGGCTTCTTTCAATACCTTTTATTAAATCTCTTTGTTGGGTATATGAATACTCCAACTGGTTTGGGTGAATGAATATATAAAACCTAGTTTTAAGTGTTTGCAGCTTTAAGCTCAAAAACTGCAATGTCATTGCATAATTATGGGTGCGGTTGTAAGCTGCAATAAGAGGCAGTGAGAGAGACATAACACTTCCTGGTTTCTGATCCTGGTTTCGAGTTCCTGTCTGATTCCTGGTGTTACTGGTCTCTGGTCTGTCTGCTGTCTGCCTACTGCTGCTTTACTCCTGTATGAGATGTCTACTGTGCAAGATACCTCTCTCTACTGAACTAAAGGACTGTGTTTACTTGGTGAGCTGTTCATATTCAGCATTGTCTTTGAGAGAAAGGTATCAGAAGAAGAAGATTTGCAAGCAGATAAAGACATTGTGTTTACTAGCTTATAGACTTGGTAACTGGATGGATATACTGGATACTGACATATGGACTGAATGACTATTCTTAATCTCTGTGTGAATTAAATATCTATTTAAAAACCACAAACAGTGTTTTTGTCTCTAGTGTGTGTATACTCTTGGGCCCAGCCTCTCTCTCTCATTTTGGCTGCCTGGTTAGACTGCTGCTGTGCACTCTGCTCGGGGGTTTATCCCCAAACACTAACACTCTTTTCCTATGCAAGTTTGTTTTATGGCTGGCCTGATGTTCCCTTTGGGCTTTTCCTGCTTGGGTGTCACCACTGTCCTCATGAAGTTCCCTTTCCACATATCTTCTATTTATTCCTTGGCTGCCAAGCTTTACTTCGGATGTATATTTTTATCTTAGTCTCCCTAGCCTGGTCAGATCTTCCTGTTGTTCTAACAACGTATCACGTCTCTGTGGAATGCATGGTCTATGTGTGAATGACCAGGCCAGAATAGAACTTCATTCAGTAGAAACAATAGAAGGGAGGGGATTTTATGCAAACACAGAGAAAGCTGGCAAGAGCATTAAAGAAATGAAAGAATCTCCTAGTCCTGTGGTGGCTAACCTTTGGGGGCTCCTGTGTAAAAAATTGTGTGTGCACCAGCACGCGCGCACTTGCATGCCAGCACCCACAATGCAATGTGCCCCTCCTCCCCACGCCCCCTGTGCACGTGCATGCAATTCCCAACCCCAACCCCTTACCTGCACTGGGCCTCACAGCTGATTTTTCAGTTGGTTTGAGGCTTTTTTCAGCCTCCCAGAGGCTTGGAGGAAGCCTCTGCAAAGGCCGAATTATAGGCCTATTTCATCACTTCCAGTATTAGAGGAAGTGACGAAAGGGGCCTATAATTTGGCCTGAAAAGCCTTGCAGAGGCTTTTTCTAAGGGAGGCCGAAAAAAGGTTTGGTTTGAGGCCGAAAAAGGCCTCAAACCATCCGAAAACAATCCGCTTGTGAGGCGCACGCACGTGCAGTGAGTTAAGTTTGCCTGCGGCTCGCGTGCCAGCACAAATGGCTCTGCGTGCCACTTGTGGCACGCATGCCATAGGTTCGCCATCATAGTCCTAGTCTGTTTGATATGCTAAATGTATAAGATTTATTATAAAAGAGTAATTTATATTGCTTCTCTCCTATCCAATGAAGGAACACCACACCAACCTGAGCCAGTGGTTCCGCTGGCCAAATACTCTTCCTAGAAGAATTCCTAAACCTCAACCTACCAACTTGGGGCCCAGCGTCCAACCCTCAACTCAGGGCAGGAATCTAACTCAACACTCCCAATCTGACCACTGTCCAGCCAATTGATGGGCCCAAGGGAGCCCGGACCTTCTCTGCTTTGCTGGTTTCGTGGTTTGACTGCTACTTCCGCGAAGACTTTTTCTCACATTGAGAAAAAGCCTGAAGTCTTCTAAAATCCTTCCCGCGTTTGTAAAGTGCTTGTAGTATCCTATACGCTAGTTATAAAAAGGCCACACAGCCTCGCCAACTTGCCAGATGTTAATAAAAAAATCAGACCAAGATGAATCACATCCCCCCCCCCCCCTAAAGAAAACCCTTTAATATGACATACAAGCTGTACAATTCAAATGAAAAACAAACTTAAAATCTTTTAGGATGAAAAAAAAAGAACAATACAAAACTGACGCTAGCATAATGGTTGTGTAAGTGTGCGCAACCTCTTCTAGGTGCGGATGTTACTGTGTTCAGAATTAGCCAATTGCATTCAAACCGAAATCATTTTAGATTCCATTTGTATTGTTTTCACTTTTGCATTTTTGGATGATTCTTGCTTTTATATTGGTGTTGCTAGAAAGGTTATTAGGAGCCTCCGTGGCGCAGTTAAGAGTGCAGTACTGCAAACTACCTCTGCAGCCAGCTGCCTACATTCTGGCAGTTCGAATCCCACCAGGCTCCAGGTGGACTCAGCCTTCCGTCCTTCCGAGGTGGGTAAAATGAGGACTCAGATTGTTGGGGGCAAGAGGCTGACTCTGTAAACCGCTTTGAGAGGGCTGTAAAGCACTATAAAGCGGTATACAAGTCTAAGTGCTATTGCTACCATGGATAATTCTATATAAGCTACCGAGGATCTTTTTAGCCGTAGCACTTATATACTGCTTCAGAGTGCTTTGCAGCCCTAAGGTGGATTACGGAGTCAGCAAATTGTCCCAAACAATCTGGGTCCTCGTTTTATCAACCTTGGAAGGATGGAAGGCTGTGTCAACCTGGAGTTGGTCAGAATGGAAAGGCTGGCCGTGGGCAGAGTCAGCCTGCAATGTTGCATTGTAACCACTGCGCCACTATGGGTCCTTTTTGATTGCAGGATAGAAATGAGTTTTAAGAAATAAAACAAGTTCTACTCTTTTGAACATAGAGAAAACCTTTCGCTGTTCGTTGCATCGTTTCCCAATTTCAGGTTTTCCTAGAGGCAGAATTCCTGTTGGGTCCAGTCTACACTCTTTGCATAGAAAGGCTGATGAACTAATGCAGTTATTTTGTCTTTTGCCACATGGGAAGTAGAGCGCCTTCCCATGGTTGGAACTCAAGTCTTGATTTGAACAGGGTCCTAGGCCAGGCTGAAATGAGGTTGTGTAGTTTGTGGCTCAGGATGTTTTGGGGACCTCAGTTCACCTGAGAATTCTGTGTAAACCCGAGTAAGCTATTAAGCCACCTTGTGGTTTGGTTTGGGCAGAACACGCAGGCACAGATGAGTTGCTGCGTGTAAATTCTGAGTTAGGACAGTCAATTCTTAGTCACTCAACGGGGACAGGATTTGATCAATAACAATAAGTCTCAATTCACACCAATCTGCAGGAGATGGGTGAAAATTCCAGGAATCTGCCCTAAAACATGTGAAAATTCAGAGAGACGAGAACTGAAAGGGGGTGTTGCTCAATGGCTTTGGCCACAGTTGCCTATATTGGGGGGGAGGGAAGGAAGTGGGAGGAGGAGGAAAAGATGGAAGAGGAGAAGGAAAAAGAGGGAGGGAGGGAGGAAGAATGGGAGGTGAGGAAGAAGAGAAAGAGAAGATGGGGAGGAGGAAGAGGACGAGGGGAAGAGAAAGAGGGGGAGATGGGAGGGGGAAGAAGACGGGAGAAGGGAGGGCGAGGAGGAAGAAGAGGAGAGTAAGAGAAGATGGGAGGGAGGTAAAGAAGGGGGTTGCCTTGAACGACTGTTAACCTTGATCAGTACTTTGTGGCTCTTGGATATCCGAGGAATCCAAATTGCCGAGTTTGACTCCAACTAATTTCATATTTCTTTCCCATCATCCGCTTCGAGATCTCTTGACAAAGAGAATTCTTGGAAGCATCAAGAAGAACTCTCTGTTAAAAAGTGACAAATTCTCAGTGTCTGTTTCTCTTTTAGTAAAAATCTTTCCTGTTAATTTTAAGGGACCCATCTTCCAGACAGGAAACTGTGGTTTTTACGAGAATGAAACGGGCAGCGTCTAAATCTGACCTATGGAGAAAATGTGGCTACCGAGGTTTTGTCGGATGGAAATGTAATTTATTAAGGCTTATTCTGAAGGCTTAAGCCACTCCAAAAACGCAACTCCCATCTCTCTGGTGCCTTCAATGTGAGTCTAAAAGGACGAATGAGTTCCTACGCTGCCTTAAATAACCAAAGGCCAGCCAGACTGTTGAGGATTCATGAGGATTTTATTGTGGTCCACAATAACAGGTATTTGGAACAAGTCGTGCGTTCCCCACGAATTGGCTGAATGAAGACTAAAAATAAATTAAAGATGATATAATTTAGCTCCAAAGGGTCAGGACGTGGCTTCCAGATTGACATCACCTGGGTGTCTTTAAGACTTGTGAACTTCAACTCCCAGAACTCCTCAGCCTGGGGAATTCTGGGAGTTGAAGTCCACAAGAGCCTAAAGCTGCCAAGATTGGATACCCTTGGATGCCGCGATACCGGAGGAAGCTCAGGGGCGCTAACGGGTTCCTAGGCCAGAGCTGTTAACATGGAGATCTGGGATCTGACGCAGGAGATCCGCCCGGAGCCCGACGGAAGGACTCCAAAGCCTGATCTTCACTCAGGTGTGGGCTTCACCTGCTTGGCAGCTTCCAGCTGGGTCAGCATCTCATCCCACTGGACAAACTGTTTGGAAAGGAGGAGGGTCTGCAAAGAAATCTTTAAGGAAAAGAGGAGCTGAAAAAGAGGAAAAGAGGAAAAGCTGAAAAAAAAATGGCTGGAGACATGCTCAGCCTAATGAAGAAAAGGATTAAGGAAGGCGCGATAGCATCTTCCAATACTCGAAGGGCTGTCACAGGAAAAAAAAAGTGTGTGTGTGTGTGTGTGTGTGTGAGAGTCTATTCTCCAAAGCACCTGAAGGCAGAACAAGAAGCAATGGGTGAAAATTAATCAAGGAGACAAACTAGAAATAAGGAGAAATTTTTCCTGACGGGTGAGAATAATCAAATCACTGGAGTGGGAGTTGCCTCCAGAAGTTGTGGGTGCTGTAACACTGGAGGTTTTTAAGAAGAGACTGGACAGCCATTCATCCAGGATGGTTGGAGCTCTCCTGCCTTGGGCAGGGGGTTGGACTAGAAGACCTCCAAGGTCCCTTCCAGCCCTAGGGATTCTGTGAAATCAGAAGCAAGCAAATGAAACGAACTCTCATTTTGGACAGCCCAAGAAACTCTCGTGGTAAATGAAAGACTTAAGGGAGCCAGAGAAAAACCTTAATGCTTTTGGTACAAATAAATAACCCAGAGGAAAGCTAAGCTAGTGAAATGGGGGCAGTTCCAGGTGAGCAGCACAATATTACACATTCCAAACTTGGTTCAAAAAAAGGATATCATTTTGTTGTAATCTTCCAGAAGTAACCGGATGGTCTCGGTCACAGCTTCACACTGATCCTGCAGGAGGAGGGAGAGTTCAGTCAATCCATATTTCCTCATCTGGGATTGGGCATTTTAAAGTGCTAAAATGCTACACATGCTCCGTTTCGCCCCACAGGCAGGGTTACTTGTTGCTTAATCTGGCGAACGGTTAAAAGATTTGGGATTAAAACGAAATGTGGGAAATTTAGCACCACCGCTTTAAAGACAGGACTTTGTTGGTAGCGTGTAAGATCAACGGTAGAATTTCTCTGCTCTCAAGACGCTGGGAAACAGCTGCCAATCGAGAGAGATTTTAATTTCCTCAGGGAAATTTGTTATGAGCAACTTCTGAATCACAGGAAATAAACCTTTTAATGGTACCTCTTTCTGTCCTGATCTAGCCACAAGTTCTTCGCTGTAATTTACTGTTTATCCCATTTCTTTAACCAGACTAGATCAAGACCTAGTGGCTGCATTCATATACCAGGTGAAGAAGTCTGGTCAGTTTTAAGTTTGGTTTTCTATTAATTTAAGGTCCACTATACAGTGCAATGACCACCCTACCCTCCCACCCCTGCCAAAACGAGGAAATTCACATAAATGCAGCCGGTCTGACCCTAACAGCTTCTGTGTTTCTCCAAACCTGCAAGAGGGCAGTTTCTATGGAGGTTGTCAGTCATCCAGGTCATAGTTGTCCCAAAGGTGCTTTTTTTTCAAGAGGCAACTAGACTTTCTGGTTTTTTCCTTTGAAGACGTTTCGCTTCTCATCCAAGAAGCTTCTTCAGCTCTGAATGAAGAAGAGCAAAGCTGAAGAAGCTTCTTGGATGAGAAGCGAAACGTCTTCAAAGGAAAACCAGAAAGTCCAATTGCCTCTTGAAAAAGGAACTTTGGGGCAAGAAGGCAGTTGTGTGATCGAAGATGCAACTGCCGCGCTTGCTTTACCTTTGACTCTACCGACCGCGCAGAGTTGGGACAAACCCCAGCACAACCTAACGAGTGATATTTGATTTTGGAGGTTTGCTCGTAACGAAGGTGACGGGTCTGCTAACAGACAGGTGGGGCCTCGGGTGGGAGTGGACACAGGCTTCTGGAGGCGAGTTCTCAGAGCATTTCCCAGCTCAGCGCTTACCTGCTGCTGAAGGTGTATTTGTGAAAGTCGCTGGAGTTTGGTGGCGTGATCAGGAGAAGCTGCAAGAGACCACACACAAAAAAAAACAGAAGCCAGGCTCTTGTTACGACTGTTCAAAATGGAAGCAGGGCCCCCCACCTCCCCCCAAAGGGCCCTCGGGAGCTATCCAGGAAACAGTCCAGCTCCTAAAAATCCCCCATTATGATCCGCACCCTTCAAACCACAAATAAAAGTTTTTTGTTAAGGCAAGAAGCTGAATCGGCGCCCAGGAAGCCACCAGCTCTCCACCACTGAGCGATTGCTGAAGAAATCGTTGTACATTGAGGACCACCCATATTGATGAATCATAATCAAGTGAGCAACTGACCCTTTGGGAAAGTGTGATAGCCGTAGGCTTGGCATAAGGAACGGAACAACAGAGTTGGAAGGGACCTTGGAGGTTTTCTAGTCCACCCCTCTGCTCAGACAGGAGATCCTATACCATGTCAGACAGTGGTCCAATCTTCTTTTTTTAGGAATTTCCAGTGTTGGAGCGCCCACAACTTCTCGAGGCAAGCGTTCCACTGAGGAACTGTTTTCACTGTCAGGAAATTTCTCCTAAGTTCCTTCTCTCCGTGATTATTTTTCCATTCGTTGCTTCTTGTCCTGCTTTCTGGTGCTTTGGAGAATAAATTGACCTCCTCTTCTTGGTGGGAGCCCCTCAAATATTGGAATGCTGCTATCATGGTTCTCTTCACCGGACTGGACATACCCAATTCCTGCAACGGTTCTTCGTATCCTTTAGTCTCCAGTCCTCTAATCATCCTGGTTGCTCTTCTCTGCGCTCTTTCTAGAGTCTCAACCTCTTTCTTGTGATCTTGATTCCCTCAGGGATAGAGGACGGGGAGTCACTCACCTTTGATATGTGCGCTGTCCAAATAGGGCTGCAGGCTCTTCACCTGCTCCAGAAGTGCTGCCTGCGTCATGATGGACTGTTCTTCTGGTGGTGGGAAAAGCATGATGTAAGTCAGGCAAAAAATCATGTTGCTGGTCCAGTAGCAACAGATCACGTGGCCTGTGCCCTGAAGCAGCAGATTAACAAGCACTCCTGATGTTCCCTAGTTGGGTAATAAAACGACTGCGAGAAAACCACAAAGCCCAGAGAACACCCCACGATCCTTCTCTCCCTCCTCCTCCACTCTGCAAACCCTCTCTCTCCTATAGCATAGATGATGTTACCTAGTTAGGTCATGAAATGTCTGCAGGAAAACCACCCAGTTCAGGAAGCACCAAGGACCCCACAGATTAATAACTCATCAAAGCAGGCTATCTAAAAACAAACCTGAAGGTAACTTAAAACTGATCTGTTTAGATCTATGCACCATTGATTAAGAATAGAATAACGGGAAAGGACCTTGGGGGGGTCTTCTAGTCCAACCCCCTGCTAAGGCAGGAAACCCTACACCATTTCAGACAAATGGTTATCCAAAATGTTTTTTAAAACTTCCAGTGTTGGAGGAACATAAGGATCATTCCCAGGTAAATGTGCACATGATTATGACCTAAAAACTGTGCTTGAAATATAGCATTCGGATCATTTCAATTTAAAAAGTGAATGACAAAAAGCCATTCTAGTGCAAGTCAGCATTTTACACATTAAAAATCTACTGCTAAAAATCCAGAATATAGGGGCCTGCAATAGATCTACCTGCCAATATGAACTGCAGTTTCATGGCATCTGGCATGGCCATTCGGTCAATGTACTGGGGATCCAGGTATTTCAGGATGTCTTCGACTTAGAGAAGGAACAACATAAAATAGAATTTGAATTTTAGAATGCAGCAATGATAGAAGCATATGCTGGATGCTTCAAAGGACAGTAACAAGTCTTGTGATTGCTTTTTCTTGGAATTGTCCTAAATCTGGGATTTCCAAACGTGGCAACTTCACATGGCTGACTGGGGAATTCTGGAAGTCCACAAGTCTTACAGTTGCCAAGTTTGGAGAGCCCTGGCCCCTGTTCTAGATGAATAGGGTTGGCCAAGTATTAATGCTAAATTATTATTAACTGAGAGTTAATTATTCTTGCCGCCTTAAAAACTCCGCTACCAACAGATTGTGGGGCAGCAAACATGCTTAATTAAAACTCAAATCAAAAAGCTCCAAAAAAACAATGTGATGAAAATTCATCTTTATGAAAGTTGCATTACATTCAGGAAACAATCTGGTAACATCATCAGTTTAAATCAGGCTCCATCCACATTCGGCAGTTATGAGACCCCTTTTAAGACAGCTGATAGGACAAACCAGCATTTTCTATTAGAAAAAAAAGAAAAGAAAATCACTTACTTTTTTTGAAAAGAATTTTAACTCTCTCTCTTTTGCTTGCGATGTTTCCCAAGGAGCCTTGAACTTTGCTTAAGCCATCTGCTATCTAGAAGGGGGGGAAGGGGAGGAAACCGTTATTCGCAACTGGAAAGAAAAAAACAGAAAGCTGCATACAGGTTGGTTTGAAGCAGTGTTTTTCAAAGTTGGCAGCTTTAAGATGAGTGGACTTCAACTCCCAGAATTCCCCAGCCAGCATCTGTCCACCCAACTGCTTTAAACTGACTTTGAACCATAAGTGATAAATGGAAAAGTAAATTACTAAGCATTGGACACTAGAGGGAACTAAAGATTATAACTAAAGGAGAAGAACTCAACTTAAGATGATGGAATGAAGCTGTTCTGACTCAGCTCACCAAACACCACAAACCCTCTGAAGTGAACTCAAAGATTCCTTTAATAGGAGCACCAGCAGCCCCGGCAAAAATTTTCTCTCTCTCACCACAGGCTAATAAATAAAGGATAATTAGGACTGCAGAAAAAAAACAATAACTACCCACCTGCCTTCCATGGAGGACCCGTATCCTGCACGAGTCAAAAAGAGGGCTGTGAAAATATCAACAGACCCCTCACATCACAGACATAAACTGTTTCAACTCTTTCCCTCAAGACGACGCTATAGAGCACTACACACCAGAACAAGGATTCCCAAAATGCCATCACTCTGCTAAACAAATAATTCCCTCAACACTGTTCAACTATTTACAAAGTATACGCTACTATTACTGTTAATCTTCTCATCACTCCTTATCACCCATTCCCTCCCACTTGTGACTGTAGGACTGTAACTTTGCCGCTTGTATCCTTACAATTTATATGGACTGTTTCCTAGTGTGATCCAATCACTTATTGATCTATCTATCTATCTATCTATCTATCTATCTATCTATCTATCTATCTATCTATCTATCTATCTCTGTCCGAGAGATGAATAATTGTCTGCCACATCTATTCATCTCCACCCCCTGCCTTTTATCCTCAGAGCTAAGGTGGCGTTCCGCTGGTAGTGGTGGCTCTTCTGTCCCAAGGACCAGCTCATAGATTTCCACTGCTCTCCTCTCCTCTGCCTTCTGTGCATCTGTGCGTCAGGCACTGAAGCCAGCTGTTCCTCCTCTTCCTCCTCAGCCACCTCCAGACCTGGGGGCTGTTGATTCTCCATCTGAGGGCTGACAGGTGGCCCAGGCTCCACCTCTCTCTCTCTTTCTCTCTCTCTCTCTCTTTCTCTCTCTCTCTCTCTCTGCCAGCTCCATTCCCTCTTCCCCCTTGGAGCTCTCAGATTGCCTTGATGCTGGCTCTGACTCCCATGCATCCTCTTCCTCATCCTTTGATTTGGGTACTGGAGGGGTCAGTGGCCAACAGGCCACAACAGAAGCAAAATATTTTAATATTGGACACACCGAAGGATATTTTTGAACAATGGAGCCAGAAGTTAATTTTAATAGCGTCTGCCTCGATAGACAGACTGTGTCTAAAAGATTTCGTGAAAGAGGAACAGATTCTATGACGAAATTGAGAATGAACTGAAAGTGAGTTTAACAAGGAGAGGCCACCAGAATGACATGAGAAAAAAAAAGTTACATCGGACGTACCAAAGAAATTGGCTGGTGTCTTAATAATTAAAGGGGATACAGGTAGTCCGTGACTTACAACAGTTCATTTAGTTACAACACTGAAAAAAGTGCCGTATGACCATTTTCCACACTTACGACCGTTGTTGTAGCATCCCCACGATCATGTGATCAAAATTCATGGCAACTGGCTCATATTTATGATGGTTGCTGTATCCCAAGGTTATGTGATCCTTTTTGTGACCTTCTGACAAGCAAAGTCAATGGGGAAGCCAGATTCACTTAACAACCAGGTTACTAATTTAAAAACTGCAGTGATTCACTTAACAACTCTGGCAAGAAAGGTTGTAAACTGGGGCAAAACTCACTTAACCAATGTCTCACTTAACAACAGATATTTTGGGCTCAATTGTGGCCATAAATCAAGGACTGCCTATATTGTTGAGCTTTTTTCTTTTGAATTTCTCAACTTTTCAGCATCTTCTACTCTTTTCATCCCTCTTTTCCCCCATTTCCATTAGTTTTTACTGTTGTAATTATAATCCTTAATGTAATTATTATACATACCTACACGGCACACCTATTGGGCACCTTTATTTCAACAAGTGGAAGGAAATTAAAGATATTATTCCAAAGGGGAGAATTTTAGTCAAATTCATTTCTTTTTTGCCTGAAAAGCTCAAAAAGAAAACAAGCTGGGAAAAAAAAAACCTGAAAAGAATTTGCACCCCGTTCTCTGCCCAGGAAGCCTGGCAGCCGTTGTGCACGATGGGAACTGTTGTCCTTTTGTCAGAGGAGGGGAAAATTGTGATTATTTTTTTTTGAGGGGTGGGAAGGAAATTCCTCCTTCACCTGACAGGCCAGCTGTTCCCACGCCAGGCCTAGATGGGGAAAATGGGCAGCGGACCCCTTTCTGACGTTCCCCGAGTTACACGTGTCGTCGTGGCAACAGAGGCAGGAAACGTGTCAGTTTTTAACCCCCACCCACCAAAAAAAACCCAAAACCAAACTAAAAATAAAGGCAGCTCATCTCGCTTTCCTTGACTGCCCCGCACCTCACAATTCACTCCAGCAGAGCCCAGCCAACGGGTGGCAGGGAATGATGGGCTTTGTGATACCTGCCCACCACCACCACCCCCGATGGAGGAGACAGCTTCCCCCAACCCCGGGGCTTACTTTCCGGGGGGCTCCCGCGGACGCGGCTCCGGCGGGGGCCCCAAACATCCGCTCTTCCAAGGCATCAAGACGGTTTTGCAGCTGCTGCACCTCAGCCACGGCCATCTTGGCTCCAACCTTCAACCGGCGCTGGGGAGCCAATCAGAAACTTCCGAGCGGGGGTGCCGCTCTAGCACTCCGACGGCGCGCCTCTGTGGTTCACCCAGCCTCAAAGGCAAGAGAGGGAGAAAATAGGGGCGGCCAATGCGAGAGGCTAGTCACCGGGTGCGACGCTCTAGCCTTTCACAACTCTATGGCCGATCCTTCGGATGGATGGACGGCCACGGCCCGGATGTTTCCCCTCCAGGAAGCCGGAAAGCGACCCGGCGTTGCCATGGAGACGTGCGGAAGCTTCTCGGTCGGCTTCTAGGCCCGAAGCCTCAGCAGCCAGGGAGTCGTGGTCCATTATCCCCAGCCAGAGGGGGTCGTTTCGACGTCCGCGAGGGAGGCTTGCTTGCCTGGAATTGGAATGGCCGCGGATCGAGTCTCCTCCTTGCTGCAGGATTGCGGCGGGCTGTGTGTGGTAGTGGTGGTGGTGGTGGTGGGTCGCCGCCATCTTGACCGGTTTGACCTCCATGGGCTGCGCTAAAAAGGACATTGCGGGAAAGCGAGCCTGCTGTTAAATGGAAGCCCAAGCCCTCATAGCTGCTTCATCAATAGAAGATTTTTAAAAGAAGAGATTGGACAACCGTTTGTCTCAAATTGTATACAACTGTTTGAGCAGGGGGTTGGACTAGATGACTCCAAGGTCCCCTTCCAACTCTGTTCTTCTATGGTTCTGTAAGGGTCTCCCGCTTTGGCAGGGGGTTGGACTAGAAGACCTCCAATGGACCCTTCCAGCTCTATTCTGATGAATTGATTGCCAGGGGACGGAATGAAACCTGCCCGTTGCTTGGAAAGATTTGATTGTGAGAACACAACTCTGGCCGACTCACAAGGACAATACAAGCCGAAAAAAACCCACCCTGGATGCCTCAGCCTCCTCCTCCAGGACCATCCCAATGGAGCTTCAATGGACCCTCAGCAGAAGAGGGGGAGGTCATCCAAGCCTTCCCCCCCGCATTGTCCAGAGAACTTGGCTTTGACTCTCCAACCAGCCCCAAATCTCTTTTACACCTGCACAAACTCTGAAAATGGATTGGTTCATTCTGGAGCATCTCCATCCCTCCAGACTGAGAAGGTTGCAGCTGTTGGGATTAAGAATTTACACCCCTTCACCCCAATTCTAAACACAGGACATGACCTTCAGGACATAATAAGATTAACCCAGCACCATTGAAATAGTGAAAGTCACAAGGTTCACTACAATGCACAACCCCCCTGGAGCATCTCATTCACCAAACCTCAGAACCCTATAAAAATCCATCCACTCACTCAGCCATTTTGTCAGCCACTCCAGAAACTTTCTGCTGTCACTGAAGTTTCTGGAAACTAAATAAACAGAGACCTTCTTTCTATGCGGCCTGCCTCCATTTTATTCCCAGCGTCTTTCTCTTGGCTTGGAACCAAACGGGGGTTTTCTTCCAACAACACCAAGACCTTGGGAGCCATTGGCTGCATTTTTCTTGGTTGCCAAAGCAACTCAGTTTTGGAGAGAGTGCCTTGAATGTTCACATGAATTTACCGATCGTTTAGTCAACATGCTAAATTTCAACCCAAATTTAAATTTTAGTAGAGTGTGCAATGGACGTTACTCAATCATTAGTCAGCCTAGTTAATTTGTTGCCAGTCAGCACAGGAAGGGGGATAAATTTATTTATTTTTATTTATATCCCACTTTTATTACTGTTCTAAATAACTCAGGCTGGCAGTATAGCTGATACTCCTTCCTCCTCCAATTTTTCCCACAACAATCACCTTGTAAGGTGGTTTGAGTTTGAGAAAGAGGGACTGGCCCAAAGTCACCCAGCTAGCTCTCATGGCCAAGGCGGGACTAGAACTTACTGTCTCCTGGTGGTTTGGCTCCAAGTCACCCAGCCAGCTCTCATGCCTAAGGCAGGACTAGAACTCACTATCTCCTGGTGATTGATCCAAAGTCACTCACCCAGCTCTTATGCCTAAGATGAGACTAGAACTCACTGTCTCCTGGTGGTTGGCTCAAAGCCACCCAGCCAGCTTTCATGCCTAAGGCAGGACTCGAACTCCCCATCGCTTGGTTTCTAGCCTGGTGCCTTAACCCCTAGCCCAAACTGGCTCTGAGCTTGCAGATTAAAAGACCCACAGTCGTAAATCAGCTTCAGAAAGTACACATTTGTTTAAGAGGCTCCTGACTTCTGCTCCTTCTCAAATACCGGTCGGCCTGTGCCAGGGGCAGCTACTTAGCACGCAACCTTGTCACCGAATATGAGTTATTTTTAATTTGCGCCCTCAGGAAGCCAGCTGAAGTCAGCAGGTCCTATCAATACCGGTCCACTTACAGCGCCAGGTGGTGTAATGAAAATCCGATGGGAGGATTGGCGGGAGTAAATAAGTATGCCATTAAAATGAGAAAATCAAATCCCCGGACAGGTCTTTTCTCTCTCTCATTGATTCCTTTTATTACGGAAGTATTGCAGCTAAATAACATTTGTGTGAATCATTTCGATAGTGTTTTCCGCAGATTGCACGTCAATAACCCAATTGCGGCCTCGCCGTGTAAATTCATGGGTGTTCGGGATGCAGTGTTGGTCCTTTTGAGTTGACCTTCCCTGCTGTACTGAGGGGAAAGGAAGAGCTGTGGCTGATGGGTCTGGGTTTCCTTGCCTGTTTGCTTGTTTGTTTATGTGATCCTCTGTCCGTCTATCTATCCATTATCTATCTATCTATCTATCTATCTATCTATCTATCTATCATTTATCTATCTATCTATCTTTGCTGTATCTACTGTATCTATCATATCTTTATCATCATCTCTATATGTATCATATCTCCATATCTCTATCTCTTATCTATATTTCTCATATCTCTATCTATTGTATCTACTGTATCTACTGTATCTACTGTATCTACTCTGTCTGTCTGTCTGTCTATCTGTCTACTATCTATCTATCTATCTATCTATCTATCTATCTATCTATCTATCTATCTATCTATCTATCATCTATCATATCTATATCATCATCTATATATATCTATAATCTCTCTCATCTGTCAATATCTATCTATATCTATATATCTATATCTACCTACCTATCTCATCTGCCTGCCTATGTGTCTTTCTGTCTGTCTGTCTATCATGTATAAATACCGTCTGTCTGTCTGTCTGTCTGTCTGTCTGTCTGTCTGTCTGTGTCTATCTATCTATCTATCTATCTATCTATCTATCTATCTATCTATCACGAGTATCAAACTCAAGGCCCGGGGGTCCAGCCTGGAAATATCAAAGGACCAGCCCGTGGTGCCTCTGCTGACCAAAATGGGGTCCCTGTGCTCCCCGACCCCCTGGCAGCCCATTTTAGCCTCCATGGCCTCCTGCAGCTCTGCTGTTTGGGCGTCTGTCCTGTCTCACCCCCGCCCACCCTGGCCGGCCTGCGGAGGAGAGCTCCAATGCTGAACTGGCCTTCAAAGAAATCCGGTTTGATAGCCCTGAATCTAACAGCTTTGTATTCCCTCTTCACTGAACTCTGTGGTGGGCTTGGAGAGTGTGACTGTCCCTAAGACGGGACTAGAACTTCCTCTCTTCCAGCGACCGGCCCAAAGTCACCCAGTCAGTTTTCATGCCTAGAACAAAAAAATATATCAGAAAATAAAATACAAACTGAATGGACAAGACCTTGTAGACGACTCTCACTAGGTCAAGGGCCTGGGAGTACTCATCTCTGATGATCTAAATGCCAGAGCCCACTGTAAGTACAAAAAGGCATTAAGAGTTGTTAACTTAATTGTGATGACCCAAGGTGGGATACAAAAGCAACAAAGTCACAGAAATAGGTGAATTAATTCCTTCAACTTGGCCTCCAAGGTCCAATTATCATTCACTGGAGAAAAAAACTCCCCCACAAACAGTTGCGAAAAGGAAGAACTTCCGTTCAAACTCAAAATACATATAAATTATAAATAGAAAAAACAACAACACAAACCACACTGAAGCAATTAATGAGTCAAGGCAGGATAAAGGCTTGAAGACGTCCACAGACATTGAAATACACATACTGGGAAGGACGCCAGAACTCAAATAAGAACTGATAGACTAGAATTATTTTCATACTTTGCTTCCAGCACTGGCCCATGTGCAGTTTGTCCTTTTAAACAGTCCTTGCAGCTGCAGCCCATGAAGGGGATCAGGGCCCTTTCCTCCCCCGTAGACCAGGTTTCTCCCTTATCCACTCCTCCCTGCGTGCCCTAGGAAGAAGAGGGGATGGGCCTGGGTCTTCCTCTGAATGCCCAGCCAGCCTGTGCCCTTCCCCAGTTTCCTCCACAACCTCTGGAGCCACACTCCCACCCCCCTTCGGCTGTTCCTCCTTTCCCTTGGAGTCGATTCTAACAGGGGCGTGACACTAATCCTGCGAAGCTTTTCCTCCAATAATATTGCACTGCTAACTAGAGCATACAAAACATTTGCTAGACCAATACTGGAATACAACTCATCAGTCTGGAACCCTCACTACATATTGGATATTAAGACAGTTGAGAAAGTCCAGAGATATTTCACGAGAAGAGTTCTCCACTCCTCTACTAGTAACAGAATACCTTATGCTGCCAGACTTGAAATTTTAGGCTTAGACAACCTAGAACTACGCCACCTTCAGTCTGACCTAAGCATAGTGCATAAAATTATCCATTGCAATGTCCTACCTGTCAATAAATACTTCAGCTTCAACCACAACAATACAAGAGCACACAATAGATACAAATTCAAGGTAAACCTCACCAAACTCAACTGCAGGAAATACGACTTCAGCAACAGTGGTCAATGCCTGGAATATTCTACCTGATTCTGTGGTTTCTTCCCCAAACCCCCAAAACTTTAACCTTAGACTGTCTACTGTTGACCTCACCCCATTCGTAAGAGGTCTGTAGGGGGGCGTGCATAAGCGCACCAAAGTGCCTACCATCCCTGTCTTAATGTTCCCTTTTATTCGTATCCATTTTATGTATTCATAATCATGTTTGTACTTGTTATCTAATACTTGCTTGACAAATAAATAAATAACAATAAATACAACTCACAGACTCCTGGTGAGTTGCCCAAAGTCACTCAGATCGCTTTCATGGCT